GTTTCAAAGCGCTTCGACTTGGCTTGAAACGATCAAAGCTCACTTCAATGCTTCACACAGCCCTTCTCTAAACTACTACAACCTGAGCTAGAGTAGTCTGGTGAACTGAGGGGAAAACATCAGGCACTCACCGCATCGGTATCGCTGACGCCGGCCGATCCCGCAGCTGCCAACCACTGTTGCGACGCGCGCCTCCGACGACGTTACGAAGGGTGCCTTGAAATCTCACCGCTGCAACCACTGTTTCGAAAGACGGCGACGCCAACACGGTCCCGAAGGCGCCACTACTTTGAACTCCGCCGGGAAGGTCACCAGCCATTTGGTAGCGTAGGTTTCTCAGCTCGCGACTGCTTCTGCGCAGAGTTGATAGACGAGCGGACGAGACGACGGTGAGTTAAACAAGGTTTATGTACAGCATATATACAGAGACGTTACAAATTCGGCACTGGGGCCGACAGAGACGCGAAGAGCCGAGCTCTTCTCTCTAACACATAGCTCTACTCTCAAAAGGGTCTGCTGTCAAAGGGGTCTGCCCTCCATAGGACTGCTGCTCGCGACGCGCCGCAGGGCTTCTTTTATATGCACCAGGTGGATTCTTTGAATAACAAAATGTCCAACCAGAAGCGCCGCTGGTCGTGAGGCCAGTCTCCTCCAATGGGGTCGCCGCTGGGCCGCGTCATTCTTTCTCATCGAATCTGGAGAGGCTGCGCTGCAGGGGGCTGCACCCAAGGACGAGTGACGTCGCAAGGCATTGCGTCACCCCCCAAGACAGGAAGACGCCGGTTGTTTACTCGACGGGCTCGCTTGCTGAGGTGACTCACTGCACGTGCACACCAGAAAAGCGCCGTCGCCTGTTGACGCCGTTGAGTTGTTCGCGTCAGGCGGACTCGCGGGCTGGCCTTGACACAGATTGCCTTTTTCAGAGGCACGGACGTTCGCTGTCGACTCACAGGCATAACAGCGCAGAGCCCTAGAAAGCGACGCACTGCCTTTTTATCACGTGGTACAAGAAACGAGGCCATAGCGGTACTTTTGTCACGGTCTGGTCGAATACCATCCGCACTGACAACATGGCCGAGAAACTTAAGTTCCTTGTAACCGAAGTGGCATTTTTCTGGCTTCAGTGTCAGGTTAGCAGAGCGGAGTGCTTCCAGCACATTCTGCAGACGCTTCAGGTGCTCCTCAAAGGTGGCAGAAAACACGACAACATCATCGAGGTAAACTAAACACGTGTGCTTAGTTTTTCTCGATGACGTGTGCTTAGTTTACCTCGATGAGTTTACCTTGAGACCGGTGAGAACAGTGTCCATCATTCTCTGGAATGTCGCAGGTGCAAAACAGAGGCCGAAGGGAAGCACTTTGAATTCATATAGGCCATCCGGTGTAACGAAGGCGGTTTTTTCACGATCTCGTTCATCAACTTCAATCTGCCAGTAGCCACTTTTCAAGTCTATCGATGAAAAATACTTGGCCCGCCGCAGTCTGTCAAGGGAATCGTCGATCCGAGGCAGCGGATAGAGGTCTTTTTTAGTCATGCTGTTAAGTTTCCTGTAGTCCACGCAGAAGCGCAGTGATCCGTCTTTTTTCTTCACGAGCACGACGGGAGATGACAAGGCACTTTTCGAAAGTTGGATAATGTCATCTTGCAACATCTCTTTGACTTAAGCATTTATCACGTCACGTTTTTTTGCCAAAACGCAGTAAGGGTGTTGTTTTATGGGCGAGGCATCGTTATCCGTAATTATTCTGGTGATCGGTGTCTGACAAACCTTCGAGGTAAACGCGAAGCACTCTTTAAATTGATATAGCAGTTCACGCAGCTCGGTCTGTTGTTGTTCCGTGAGGGTCGAGTTGACATCAACTTTTTCAAGTAGCGGAGTCACGTCTCCTGGTGTCGGTCGAAGCCCGTCATTGGCTGATGTAGATGCGAAGCACTCAGAAACGTCTGCGATAGGGTAGGCGAAAGCGATGGCGGTGTCACGAAACAGGTGCCGGTACTCGTTACTGAAATTAGTCACAAGTAGGGCAGAGTGTCCGTCATAAAGCGTGACGAGGCTGCGTGCAGCGCAGACACCTAGCGCGAACAAAAGCATCAAGTTGCCTTCGGCGACAACCTCACCATCCCGTAACTTGTCAGACACCACATCAACTAGGACGCTTGAACGCAGAGGCAACGTGATGCTGTCAGCAGAAACGCGAAGCGTGCTGTCACAGATGTCGTCAGGTTTGTCAGAGGATCCAGCTGTCGAAAACGTCACGGTATGCTCTCGAAGATCGATAATAGCGCCGTGCTCCCGCAAAAAGTCGACTTTGAGGATTAGGTCTCGGGAACAGTCACGAAGTATGAGACAGCTGGCGAGAAACGTACGTCCCCGAATGCTCACTCTGATAGTGCACATGCCGATTGGGGTGACTACGTGCCCGCCGGCAGTACGAATTTGTGCTTCATACTAAGGCGTTACAACTTTCTTTATGTGCGCTGCTAGTTTCGTGCTTACGATCGAGTAGTCCGCACCTGTGTCCGACGTTCCGATAGATTAGAGGTGTGCCAAGGTAATACCGATCCATAAACATGGTTCCAAATATGACGTCACGAATTTATGACCAATTTCCTTGACAAGTACTTGTAAAACACTGGAGCACATTTTGACTACTCACTTAATGAAGTTTGTAGAAGAAAACGGTATTTTAGGTAATAATCAACGCGGGTTTCACAAAGGGTATTCCACAATTTCAATTCTTACTGAGGTTATGCATGAAATTGGTCAGTGTTTAGATGGAAAAGGTCAAGTAGACATCATATTTATTGATTTCCAAAAGCATTCGATAACATATCTCACAGAAAGTTGCTTAAAGAGTTGTCTTGTTTGACTGGTGACAGTCAGCTACTAAAATGGATAGAGGCATATTCGTCAAATAGACAACAATTTGTTGAAATAAATAATGTCTCCAGCACCAATAAACCAGTCAGATCAGGTGTGCCGCAAGGGTCCGTAATAGGCCCTTTACTTTTCTCTATCTATATCAGTGACATGGGTGCTGATTTTTCTCAGCAAATAGCTATAAAACATTATGCAGATGACACCATTGTGTACGCAAAGATAAGCTCCACTGACAATCAGCTGGAGCTTGATAACCATTTACAAAAAATTAGTCTTTGGTGCGACGAATGGCAAAAAAGAACTGAATGCATCAAAAACTCTCTTCATGCACATGACACGTAAAAAAGACCTGTTATCCTTTTTGTACAGCATTAAAGGCACAGTGCTAACTGAAGTAAAGAATATTAAGTATCTAGTTGTTCATCTTGCACATGACTTGAACTGACCCATGCACGTTGACAGTGTTTGCAATAAAGTCATGCGTAAACTTTGGTCGTTACGACGAAAACTTCACGATGTCACCCCGGAAAGCTAAAACAATGGCATATAAAATGACTATTTTTTCAGTACTGACCTACGCAAGTCATCTATGGGAACCATACACCAAAACAAATGCACTAAAATGTGAACGTATACAAAACAAAGCCTTACGGTTCATTTTCAACTCCTATTCCAGAACTCAGTCTATTAGTGAGCTTAGAGACAGAGCCGGTTTAATGACGGTGAAACGAAAAAAGCAACATAATCGACTGATATTCTTTTTTCACATACTCAATGGAGACTACAAGGTTCACCTAAGGGAACACATCGCACTACAGCCATTTACCACATCCAGAACAAAACACTCGAAACATATCACACCACTTAGCTACAGAACAGATTAATTCAAGTATTCGTTTTTGGTTCGGAGCATCGATGACTGGAATCAATTACCTCAATACATAGTCGAACATTGCGATTTACAAAGGTTCGAAAAGGCTTTGCCAGAATATTTGTAACCAAATTGCTTGTTCCTTGTTGGTTGAATATGTTCAATGTACTATATCAATATGTTAAATATGTACTATATCACTTCAAATCTTTATTCTCTTTTTGGTGACGTGTACGAGATGTATTCAAACATGTTTCTTTTATCCATGACCTATGCGGGATGCATTCTGATATAGTTTTGCGTTTTTGTTTTGTTATTTCCATATACTGTGCCTCTTGAGCATACAGTGTGAAACTTGTTTCCACATATGTTCTTTGTACATGCCAGATATTTAACCCCAACTCCCATCTTGGCCCTTGGGCTGACAGTATGAATAAATAAAATAAAAAAAACTAGTCAAATTGAATGGCAAAGATACAGTATCTGTTCCTCCACTCGAACTAGACAAAAACTTACTTCATAATGTTATTACAAAAGTCCCATATCTTAACCAATATTTTAACTCTGTGTCTGCTGCTTGCCACTCAAGTTGCGACGCCAATTCAACACAGAACAGTGCCTGTGGAGAGCAAATGGAAGAGTTTGTTTTTGATCAGCGGGGCATCCAGGAATTGCAAAAGATTATAAGCCTCACAGCCCACAATCTGCTTTACTTTCTATGTGTGCACGTTCTGTAAGGAAATACTTGTTAGCTATCTTCCCAAAGTCACCGAGAAAAAGTTTCTTGCTGGACGACTGGAAATTCGCTTGCGTTGTGCCAGTGCACAAGTCTGGACAAAGCAGCATTGTCTCACACTACTGGCCGATCTAACTCCCTCGCATTGCCTGTAAAATTCTAGAAAAAACACCTGAAAATCACTGAAAATCACTGAAAAATCACCTGAAAAACTACTCCTTATTATCTCAGCAACATGGGTTTTCTTGTGTTACACAGTTGACTGGAAATACACATGATTTGGCTAGTGCACTGGATAACAGGTATGCAATTGACTGTATGTACTTCGATTTCTGTAAAGCATTTGATTTGCCATTGCTCATTGCTTATTCAGAACCGGCACTGGTACAATATAAACTCTTCTGTTATTGAATGAATCAAAGTATACTTGTGCGCCAGGTATTACTTGTGCGCCAGAGGACACGGCGGCACCGCTGTGACAATGTCACCGACTTTCCTGTTCCTTGTGCAGGTTCTAGCTGGGTGCTTTTGGATCAGCGCTGCTGAAACTTTCACGGCAAATGGACGCTGCCAGCCTGCATCGCCTTCGCTTCTGCCAAACGACGTCCTAGACGCAATTTTGGATGACAATCTTCTGCGGCGGCTGCCACATGTGGAGTATGGCTACAGCGCATCTTCTTCACGCACCGTGACGTCACCAGCATATCCCGGACCTGCTGGCTTTTATGCTTTAAAAGGAATGCTCGCTTCTGCAAGCATCAGTGGACACGGCGGCACTGCTGTGACAATGTCACCGACTTTCTCGTTCCTTGTGCAGGTTGGTGATTGAAAATACTGTTTCCGTAGTAATTACCTGTGCTTAGTGGTGTTGCCGTGTGCACATACTCTTCTTTGTTGTTTATCTGAATGTTTTCACGTTGCCAGCTTGCTAGTGTCACTTTCGGGTGATGGTGAAGAAAATCCCGGGCTTATCACTGAAGAAAAGCTTAACGAAATAATTAGGACACAAAAGGCGGTCCTGGAGAAAGTAACCAAAATAAAAAAAAGCCAAGCATCTTTTGAGGCTCGGGTAGAAGGCAGGCTTTCGAAAATAGAGGAAAGGCTAGAAATTCTGGGCGAAGCCCCACTCAGGCTTGCTAGCCTTGAGAAGTTTGCCAGTGAAGCCGAAACCTCAATAGCAACTGTTAGTCAAAAAGTTGATGAGTTCGTTACTAAGTCGAGCACCGACTGGAATGCCCTCCTCAAGCGACTTGACGATCTCGAAAACCCCTCTCGGCAGAATAATATTATTATCAGAGGGATAAAAGAAGACATGAATGAAACTTAAGATGTTTTACGTGAGAAGGTTAACATCGACGTTTTTGATAAGCTGCTAAACCTTAAAATTAACTCAGTTGAACGAATTCATCGCTTAGGAGCAAAACAGAAGGGCAAAGATAGGCCCGTTATCTTGAGAGCTTCAGATTTCAGAGATAACACTAGTATCCTACGAAACTGCTTTAAACTGCGTGGTAAGGAGGTCAGCATAAACGAAGATTTTTTTAAACGAGTTGTTGAGATACGCAGAAGGCTGTGGGAGTCTAGTGCTGAGGAGAGAAAAATGGGGGCCAAGGTTAAGCTTATTTTTGACAAAATGAAAATAATTCATGTGGTGTACGGTTGGAACGGAGATACTAATATGAGGTACATATGTAAGACACCTCCCGAAACAACTGACTGGCGTCGTGATGGCGACTGACTGCGTCAGAGTAGTTTTAACCGGTTAAAGTTAATAAATATTAATGTCAGAAGTATTATGAATAAAATGGTGGATCTTGAGGCTGTGGTACTAGAACACGATCCCGACTTTTTAGTAATGACCAAACATGGTTGAAGAAAGATGTACTCGATGCCGAGGTTACTCCCCCCGGATACAAAATCGTGAGAAGAGACCGTGAAACAAAAGAAGGAGGTGTGGCCATTTTAATTAAAGATAATATATTAGTTAGTGTTCTTCCGCATGCTATTGATGTCGAAGCTCTTTGGATTAAAACCACGCTCAGTAATAGCTCGGTATACATTGATGCTATGTATAGACCTCCGAACTCTCCAGTGAATGCACTTGATAACTTAAGAAGCTTTATGGATTCCCACCTGAAGCATGATGATAATATTATCCTTATAGGAGACTCCCTGAAATCTCCCTGGAATTAATTGGTCGATGCTCACTTCAGAGAGAAGCGAAGTCATTAAAGTTGATCAGCTGCTAGAGCTCGCTTTCTGCTACGATCTGACTCAGGTCGTCTCATCTTGTACGCGTGTGGGTTTAACCGCTTCTTCAGTGCTTGATTTGATGTTCTTATCTGGATCACTGCTCCCGTTTCTTGGTATGTGTGAAATTGAGGACGGTCTTTCTGATCATAAAATGGTTTTATTGTCTTTAGATCTGTATGTCAATGTCATGCACAATGACGAAAAACTTATGATATCAAATTTTAATGTCGCAAACGACTTAGCCATACTAGAACATCTGGAGCAGTCATATTATTCCTTTCTGGAAATGTACCGAACATCTCGTTCAACAGAAGAACTGTGGCGGTTTTCTCATTCTATGATAATGTTTTGTATCCAACAATTCATTCCCAAACGTCGTAAAAATGTTAGAAAACACAATCTTTGGATTACGCGCGATATAATACACGCTAAAAGAAAGCTTAAACGCAAGCGAAAGGCGTGCTCTGTCAATCAAAGCATTGAAAAAAAGGAAAACATCCAGGTTTTAAGTAAGAACCTCCGGCAAAGTGTGAAGACTTCTAAAAATAAGTTTTATAACTCAACGTTGAAACAATTTCTGAAAGAATCCCCAGAAAAGTTTTGGAGGTATGTGAATCCTTTGACCAGGCCGAGTAGTATGCCTAATCATAGAAGTAGCAAGGATCAGGCAGAGGCATTTAATTCCTTCTTCTCGTCAGTTTTTACAATCGATGATGGTATTGTACCAACATCAGCAATTCCTTAGATAGGATTCCTATCCAGGATATAAGCATAACTGAAGAGGGCGTTCTAAACCTCTTGCTTCATATAAATACAAAAAAAGCCCTGGTCCTGACAATATTCCTAATAAATTCCTTTATAGATATGCCGAATGGTCATCGAAATTTTTAACATTAATTTTTCAATCATCCGTTAATAGTGGCTCTTTTCCCAGTGCCTGGAAACGTGCAAAAATCGTGCCCATACACAAAGGGGGTTCCACATTTCACGGTAGCAACTACCGACCTATATCGCTTACAAGCACCTGTTCAAAAATATTAGAGCACATTGTATCAAAGCACTTGCTAACCTATCTCGATGAACATAATTTAATTGTTTCCTGTCAGCATGGTTTTAGGAAAGGGTTATCCACTGTTACTCAGCTTATTGAGCTTGTACACGACTTATCTAGCACAGTTAATACTCGTGGTCAAGCTGACATAATATATTTAGACTTCGCAAAGGCTTTTGATAAGGTGTCGCACAATAAGCTCTTACATAAAATCGATAGTACCTTTAAAAATTCTGCCCTCACCCAGTGGTTCAGTTTCTATCTTGCACGCCGAGAGCAATATGTCCAACTAGGGCACCACCATCTTTCGTAAATATTGTACCGCTAAAGTTATATAATACCACTGTCTTCGACTTCGTAACAATGTATAACGAAACCACTCATTGTAGATTCTGCTTACAAAATCAGTCCATCTATCATATTGTAAACATGTACTATGATGTTTGTTTGTTTATTTGTTTCTTATTAGTTTTCTTTTTTTTTCCTTTGTTTTGTGCATGTCAAACCGCAATGCAAATACTTTGCAAACGCATGCGGAAACGCGTAGCATGTGTCATTTTTGTTTTTATTTTCAGTTTCGTAGCAGTGCACAGAGCTAACATGCCTTTTTCCTTTGTAAATGGGACCTTGTATGCATATTTCGATGCTCCCCCCCCCCCCCCCCTTATGTAATGCCCAACCTAGGGCCCTTAAGGGACAATAAATGATGATGATGATGATGACCAATCTGGTTTATCGCCTGTGGTATCTGGAGTGCCCCAGGGTAGTGCCTTGGGGCCCCTCTTGTTCCTGCCGTTTATAAACAATCTGCCAAAAAATATCACTACCCAAATGAGAATGTTTGCTGACGATTGCATACTATACAAAAATGTACAGTCATCGAGCGACCAGGCCGAACTTAATCTTAACTTAGAGAGAATTAAAAACTGGTGTGATCAGTGGCAAATGCAGCTTAACCCAACAAAAACTGTTTTTATGTTCATTTCTAGAAAAAAAAACATTCTTAGTTATCCGTACAGTATTAACGGTCACGAACTTGCTCAGGCTAAGCAATATAAATACCTGGGTCTCATATTTACATCCGACTTCCGTTCGAATCTTCATGTTGAGGAACTTTGTTTTAAAGCTAACAAGGTGTCATGGGGCCTGAGACGTAACCTCCACTGTGCCTCTCCCGAAGTTAAAACTTTAGCTTATAAAACTTTGCTAAGACCTATAATCGAATACGCTAAAGTAGTGTGGATTCCCTATACCCAAACTAACTGTTTGAAACTTGACAAAATACAGCGACTTAGTTCTAGGTTTGTATTTAATAAATACCGTCGTTTCCATTCACCTACCGAATTATGCAAACTTGCAGAGCTCCTACCTCTACAAAAATGCACCGAATATGAAAGGCTGAAATTCCTTTTCATGATAGTTCATAATTACGTTAAAATAAGCTATGACAGGTACTTTGAAATCAAAACACAAGAAACGTCAAGACACAGACACAGTATATACATACTGCCCCCCAAAGTTCATAATGACTGTTTCAGGTACAGCTTCTTCTCCAGGGCGATTCAGCAGTGGAATTCGTTACCAGATTCAGTTGTGAAAATCAAATCGCTTACTGACTTCTTAGAAGCATTAAAACATATAGTGCACTCTGATACCATGTGATGAGATTGTGAATATGTGTGAATTACGTGCTTTGTAATTAGGCTATGATATTTATTATGTGTTTTATTATGTGCAAAATATGATGTGTATTTCGGCAGTGATGCTCTCTTTTCTTAATTTTCACTAACTTCTCTGTAAACTATATGCTTAGCCAATATGATATATTTGTTATATGTGCTCTGGAATGATTTATTCCAGTAGTGAAGGTTCTTTTTTTTATGTTTCTCTTATGCACATTTCTGTTTTATATGAGTCAACTCCACTCCTGTAATAGCCCGCAAAGGGCTGACAGTATCAATAAATGAAATGAAAATGAAATGAACTTGAACTTCACACATCTGACAATAGCTTCAAATGGAATGCGGCCCGATTCATCAAGTGGATTCATCAAGTGCCACAAGAGTCAGTGCTGGGGCCGCTTATTTTTCTTGTATACATGAATGACATCTGTTGTATTTCCTCCAGGCATTGTGTGTTCACAGATGACTGCACATTATACACTGTTATTCATACCATAGATGCTCACACTGCGCTGCAGAATTATTTCAATTTGATTAGCGCCTGGTGTAATACCGTAAGTACTCGAATCTAACGCGTACCTTTTTTCCGGGTAAGCGAGTTCATAAATCGCATGCGCGTTAGAATCGAGTACGAGCAAAAAAATTAGGTCAATCTATTGCCATCGGCAAATCCGAAATGGCCGCCCCCTACATGCATTGGCATGGCGCGTCAGCCATTTCTGCCTATGTGTTTCCCATGTGCGGCACTTCGTACGTGTGCTGAAAAAAGTTCGGCATCTAGTAGTGCATTAGCATCGACGGCGTGGAAGGGCCGACTCCAAAAACTCAAGTGCACCACGATGCCGCTTTTAAAAGAAAAGTCATCGCGTGTGCAGAAACGGACGGAAATCGGGCCGCATCGCGGTCGTTCGGAGTTCCCGAAACATGCGTGCGGGACCGGCGGAAACAAAAGCAGAAGATTCTCAACAGCAAAGCTTCACGCAAAGGCTTCAGTGGACCACAGCAGGGTCGGTTTTCGCAAATTAAAGAGCTGCTCGGCGAGTATGTGGCTTGAGCAGCGAGCGTCACAGCGGCCCGTGACGACAGAACTGCTCCAAGTGCGGGCTATGCAATTAATCTTAGAAAAAGGTCTAATGCAGAGCCAGTTTAAAGCGAGCAGGTGCTGGCTAACTAACTTTATGAAGAGGAAAGGCTTTTCACTCCGAAGGGGAACATGCATATGTGAAAAGTTTTGCGGAGGAGTTCGATGAAAAGCTTCACAGTTTTCAGAGGTTTGTCCTAAACTTGCGGCGCAACAACGGCTACTTGCTTGGGCAAATCGGGAATGCCGATCAGACGCGCCTCTTTACTTCGACATGTCTGGCACCACAATCGTTGAGAAGAAGGGGGCGAAGCAAGTTCGCGTGCTGACATCGGTCCACGGTAAAACTACAGTGACGGCAATGCTCTGTTACACGTCAGATGGGCACAAGCTTCACCCGTACCTCATATTTAAATGGAAGACGCTCCCGAAAAGAGTCGTTTTTTCGAGTGGTGTGATCGTGCGGGCCAGCGAGAAAAATGGAAGTGCGTTGCAAACGATGTCTTACGTTGTTTTTTTTCCGCGGTGGAAATCAGGTGCGCGTTACAATCGAGGGCGCGGTAGAATCGAGTAAATACGGTACCTGGGGCACAGACATAAGGGGAGACCCGGCTTTCGTATCTTGAAAAATGGCCAGAAAATCAATTTTTTGAA